CCCCCCCCCCCCCCGCCACACACCTGTTCAGGTCATAGGACTGCCAGGTCCTGGGCCAGAGATTGTGCATTTGCCGACAATCCACTGAAGCAGCAAGGGGCGTGTGCATCTTCACAGCCACATTTCAGTCTGCTTTTTTGCAAAGCACCCACGTCGTGCGCACCAACAGAGAAGGGAGCATCCCATATGGATCAGTGCAGAAAGCTTGCTTTACAAATATGGGATATGAACAACGCTGAGAACAGTCTTGGTCTGCACTGTGCAGGGTTTATAGAGGGTTGATAGAGCCTGCCAAGGCAACGGCCTCTGCCCACTTCATCCTGGCCAGGCTCCGGCCCTGCTGGCTGCGGAAAGCGCCAAGTCTTGCTGGCCTCCGCAGGGTGGAAAGGTTGGAGAACAGGGATGGGGTGGGAGGTGCGGGTGCGGCACCCTCTTCCCGGAATCCTTTCCAGCTGCTGTAAGGACTGGAAGGGCCTGGAGGTAGTGCCAGGCCACAGCCGTTGCGTGTTCAAGGGCCTGGCTCCCGTTCTCGGACAGAGAAGGCTGGGCTAGGCAGACGGGGAGCCTGTGCCCGCGTGAGGCACGCCAGGCGCACCAGCTCAGGAAAAGAGGTGGCGCTTCCGAAGGAGCAAGAGCTCAGCTGTGGGTGAATGCAGATCAAAGATGAGGAGGAGAAGGGAGAGGAAGGGGCAGAGCTACATCAGGCCTAGGCTTGGATTTGCAGAGGGAGGGAGGGAGGGAGGGAGGGAGAGAAGAAATCCTCAAAGGAAACAGGATTTTGCCAGGGTCACAAAGAAGCTGAAGGTGAGCATGCTTTCCACCCAGCTAATAGACCCCACTTTCACATGCAGGCTGTCATGGGCCTCTTCCTCCACCCGCAGCTGAGGATCCTCACATACAATCTTCGCACGCTCACACAAACATGAGCAGGATCCAGGAAAGCCGTTCTGAGCAACAGGAGTGTGAGGAATGATGCTGCTGCATCCCAGGAGAATGTCACCTCCTGTGCTGTCTCTTCTCCTTGCTCAGCCCTCCCACGGTGAGGGTGGATCCCAACAGCCACTGCCCCCAAAATCCAATCCCAATTGCCTCTTCCTTACTGGTCCGCCTGTAAAGACTGGGGCTGTTCCTGCAGCTGCCAGTCGTTCAAAGAGGATTCTTAATTGGTTGTATATCAGGGCTGTGGAAACCATGGAAACGAGACAAGCCGTGGTGGTACAGAGAAACCATAAAACAAACAGCTGTTTCTTATCCTGGTTTCTAAGGATCAAACAAACCATGGTGAAATACCAACACGGCAGGCAAACAAGGGTGAAAGCCGCCCTCCGTGGCTTTTTGTGCTCCCAGCCTGTGTTCCTGCGTTAGTGCAAAGCTGCCTTGTGGTGGAGCAGTGTTCTTGGGGGATTCTGGGAAAGAAAATGGCAGAAGCTGGAGCTTTCCCAGCCCTGCTTTTAAATATATTCCCATTTTCACGTCGCAATATGGTATTGCCCAGGATGAATTTATTTCGGGGAGCGACAGACTCCTCATGCCCTGCCGTTTCTGATCGTGGCAGGTGCCGCTCGGGTTCATGTATTTCATTAATCAGGTTATGGCAACAACTGCCAGCACACAAGGACTTTGTGTGTTTTCTTGTAGTAAGATTCTGAGTCCATTTATTTATTAAAACAGAATAAATTATGGCCCTCCTTTCCTAGCACCACATTTTTCACAAGTTTTGAGTAACGGCCAGGCCCAATGCGAAGCATTGCTCTTTGAGTCTGAAATCTCTGTCAGATGGATGAATTAACTCGCCTCGTATCCCTTCAGCGGAGTATCTCTAGCCGCCGGGACCATGCGTTATCTGTAAAAAAATAGGATCGCGAGTTAAGCGACACCACACAGAGTGATGTGCTCATGAGCACATTGTGTAGGGTGTGGATGTGCCAACCAGTCGCCAGTTCTGTTCTCAGCGGTTACACATCTTCATCCTACATGCTCCAAGGTGTACTGCGTCCCGTGAACTTCTTATTACAAAAAGCTGGTTTAAATCGCAGTGTTTTCTATGGGTATGATCCAGCTAAAGTCAAACATGTCCAAGTGGGTTTAATGAAAGGATCAGGCACTTGCCAAACTCTCATTTGAGTGAATGGGACCAATGAGTACTTAACACAGACGGATTTTGTCACCTGCATTTTTGTGCTTGGAGGCTGTCGATACCAAGTGATCCATTTATAGTGGAAGGGTTGGGTGGAAGTGCATTTTATATTATTTCTTCTCTCCTCTTTGTGCAGGAAGGTTCTTTATGTTTGCTTTGCTGTTTGTACTTTAGATCTCTAGTGTGTTTATGATCTGCTAGGCCCATCTCTTAAAGGAAGAAAAGAAAATCTTCCAGCAGTGCCAGAGAAGATAAGAGCTGACTAAGTGTGTGGAAAATTGCTTGAATTAGAACTTAATCATTGTGAAGGCCTGTGTGTTAAGGAGAAAAGGGCTCTGGCCCACTGGCATACATGAGGACGCTAAGTATAGATTAATTATCTCCTCACCCCCTTTAGCCATGCTATCATAATCGCAATCAAGGTGGTTACAGAATGTCAAAAGAGGGCTGATTTCTCTCCCCCTTGTCTCCCAGTGCAAGCTTATTGCTGAAGTGGGGAATCTAATTCATGTTAATTAATGCAAGTAGTAGACCAGCAAGTTTAATTAAATTAGCATGCAAAGTGCTCATGTATGTGAAGCCAGCCAAGCCGGATCCGCAGTGTTGTGCAGCGGTAGCGAGCCTCCACATGCTTCCTCCTCTCGCGCACTCACACACACACACGCAGTGGCGTGGGGACGTGACGCCGGCCGCCCGCAGTTGGGTCCCTAGCTGGCTTGTCCGGATTCTGCTCGGCGTAGCTCCCTAGTTTGGATCTAACTGGAAGCCATCGCGGACTGACCCAGGAAGAGTCGAACCATGGCCTGCTAAGAAGGGAGGAGGGGAGGAAGGGCTCCTTGGGCACAAAGCTTACTACCCCCCCCCCCCCCCGCAATGCCAGGACACAATCTGAAATGGCTGCGGAAGTGCAGCGAGGCTGCTGAATCGCCAGGCTACCGGGCCGCCTACATTTTGCTCTCATTAGCCACAGACCGTTGAGCGGATCTCTGCAGATCTAAGGGCTAGAAATGCGATTTAAAAAATGGAAATAGCAGTGCTTGTTAAGCTGAACTCTGCACCGAGTGCCATCTCCTGCTCTGCCTGTGCATCGCGGAGTTGCGGAAAACAAGCTGCTGCAAGGTTTCATCCTGCACTTCATTTATGTCAAAGGGGGCATTAGCCTCACAGGAAGCACCGCCTGGCTGAGGGCTCGCCGCTTGGAGCCACAGCTTTGCCCTGGAGAAGCAAGCAGGGGGCAAAAAAAACCGCTCTTTAAAGCAAATGTGTGGCTTGAACTCGCCGTTGCTGGTGAAAACCCGTGATCTGAGCCACCTGGGGGAACGTCCCTTCCGAAATGCCTCCTCCAGGGCTGCGGCTTCACCCCAGGCATCACCCACCGAGCATCCAGTCATTTGGTCTCTCGGGGCCTTGCGAGTTTTGCTGCCCGCCAGTGCGACTTCCCGGTACTTCACTCATCCCAAACCTTTTATTGCTCCTTTGTCCTCCTTTGGCTCCGATGCGTCACTCCCTCTGAGTCTCACCTTGTCAAGTTGCAGCGGGGCTTTTCCCTGCTTACAAATCTTCAGAAAGAAAGGGCACGCGAGACAGACAGAGCCTCCTCGGTCCTTCGGGAAGCTCGGCCCTGCCTGGCCCTGCCCAGGCACTCCTGCCTGCATCTGGGCCCCACCGCTGCTGTTCTGATTACCTCCCAGTCAGTGTCTCTTCTCCCTCCTCACTTCCCTCCCCTCCTGTCTTCCGCTGGTCCCCAAGAGGCACAATTCCCTTCAGGTGCCCTCTCGCCTCTCTCCTGCTCACTCGCTCCCCGTTTTCTTGCCGTCTATCTCCCGTCACACATCGTCCATCCTGCAGCCCGTGAGGCTGTGAAAGGCCGTCTTACGCAATCTCTGGTCCCTGCTCTGAA